ATAGCTAAAATTATGTCACTGGGGTTTTCCAAACCTTGTGTCGCCACATACCTTGCAAGTCCTTTCACCCCCAAACCCACCCCCGAGAAGGGAGTTGCTGTCAGAAATAGACACATATTGTGATCGATCCAATACATATGATCGAAACTAGCAGATGATCACCAATACCTGAGTTTTTTAGTTTGTGAAATAGAATGCCAAAATCAAGGAAAACAGCTCCAGTTAGGTCTCCGTGTTCCATACCAGTTTGGATGTCATTGCAAACTTTCAAGAGAGCAGTTGTAGTGGAGTGATTTGGTTGTTAATTAGTTGTTAATTAGTTCAGACAACTGTACAAGTTGTTTTTTCTAAACTTAAACCTCAGTATTCAGGTTTAATTGCCGTGTTGGCACTTTGAGGAAAAAAAAGTTGGCATGTATTGCGGTTTGGGCACTCGACCTCAAAAAGGTTTGCCATCACTGGTCCAGGCTATAGCCTTGTTGCCTTACTCTTTTCCTGCTATTTGCTTCCAATGTTATATTTAGTAGCCAGAGCATTATTTAGTGAACTTTCCCTGTACTTATCCTGTTTATTTGCACCTAACAGCCACCATTGGGGTTAATTATAGCTATTATTGATTGGGGTGTATTCATTTTTTTGTTTAGACATAGTCCGATAGTCATTCTATGGTGGCTCGGCTAAATATTAACCATGCAAAATATTAATGGAAATGATTAAAATAAACCAAAAATAAGTGGGAATGGGACAATCCGTGTTCTTCAAAATATAAACATAATATAATTATATCATAATAGATTTATTAATATAATAACAAGTTAATATTTTCCTGCCATTTGATTCATAGATCTAATGAATTAAAGTAACCAACAGAGGGAAAAGAATGAAGTAGTAGTAAAATGTATTTATTAAATATTTAATATAAGAAATACAGTTGTTTTTTTTTGCTCCTCCATTTTCCCCTGAATTGGTCACTATTCACTTGATCTATGAATCAAATCAATTCTTCAGATTTTGTTTCTTTAGATTAATCATCTTTCCCAATCATCTGTTTTCCCCATCAATCATCTGTTTTCCCCATCAATCATCTGTTTTCCCCATCAATCATTTGTTTTCCCCATCAATCATCTTTTTTGGGGGGGCCGTTGATTGAACTCTGAATCACAAATCGAACAAACATGCTTGCCTATTGTGCAAGTTTTTTTAGTTTTTTTGTTTTACAACCATATAGCGATTCAAAGTTTTAGAATTTGGATGACCCGCTTGGACAAACCAGATTGATATTACTATGTAAAATAATAAAATATTAATCCCATTACAATGTGTAAGGCTGTACAATTAAATCCATAATTAAATTACATACAGTTGAGTGGAATGGGGTCACAGTTGTCACTGTCACAGCAAGAGGTAGCCAGCTGAACCGACCCTTGAAGAAGGCTCCCAGAAATGTTACATGAAGACCTTATATTCTCACATGATCTGCCAAACATCCAAACCGAGTCTGTATTAAAAGAAAAATGGAATATGAATCTGACGTCATTGCAGCTCTTGCATCACTAAGCAGTGTGTCAGACAGACATTTTGT